TCTAGGATCATTTTGATATATTTAGCTTCAAAATCGTGCCTTTAGACGATTTTTACCGATTTTTTACATAAACATTCATAATCTGCATCATGGTATCTATTATCGCATCGCTCACGGAAAGCATTTTACAATAATAAAAAGATTTACCAAAAATTTCGGGCAAAAAAAGCCAAAAAACGGACCCCTTGGTCCAATTTTACGCCAGGAATCTATTTTTGAGGTCAAAATTAGCCTAGGGGGTGGGCATCACAGACTTTTGTCACATTTTTGAACCGCGTGACAGATAAGTCCACAAAAGGAGCACCTGTATTATAGGGATTATATTTTATCAAGATTTCACCCATTTTCGACCAAAGTTAGGTGGGATAATTAGGGTGTGGTCCGAAATATGTGACCACGCCCACTTCCGGTTTCGAGTTTTTCATGTGAAACTTGCATATTTTCATAGTTAAAAACCTTTTCAGAAAAATTTCCTAGAATATAGAATGTTGCAAATCACATCAGAAAATACATATAAAAATTTCACGTAAATATATTTAATCGTGAATATTTTGAAAAAATCAACTAAAGGGCCAAAATAATCCACTAAAGGACCACAAATCAACTAAAGGATCATGAGAATCCAGTAAAGGACCAGCAAATCCACTAAAGGACCACCTGACTTAAAATTTTATCGATTTTTAACCAAAGTTGGGTGGGGTAATTAGGGTGCAGTCTTAATTACGTGAACACACCCACTTCCGGTTTCCAAGTCATTTTGACTGATATATGTTGTTAAATACATAATCCACTGAAGGACCAGAAAAATCCACTAAAGGACCACAAAAATTTACTAAAGGACCAGCATATCCACTAAAGGACCACCTGTACTATAGAGACTTAATTTTATCCATTTTCAAGCAAAGTTGGGTGGGGTAATTAGGGTGTCGTCCTAAACATGTGACCACACCCACTTCCGATTTCCAAGTCATTTAGACTGATATATGTCGTTAAATACATAATCAACTGAAGGACCAGAAAAATCTACTAAAGGACCACCTGTATGATAGAGACTTAAAATTTTATCCATTTTCAACCAAAGTTGGGTGGGGTAATTAGGGTGCAGTCTTAATTACGTGAACACACCCACTTCCGGTTTCCAAGTCATTTGGACTGATATATGTTGTTAAATACATAATCCACTGAAGGACCAGAAAAATCCACTGAAGGACCAGAAAAATCCACTAAAGGACCACAAAAATCTACTAAAGGACCAGCATATCCACTAAAGGACCACCTGTACTATAGAGACTTAATTTTATCCATTTTCAAACAAAGTTGGGTAGGGTAATTAGGGTGTCGCCCTAAACATGTGACCACGCCTACTTCCGGGTTCGGAAAATCGGAAATCGGAAAATTTGGAAAATTTTGGGATTTTATATTCAACATGGCAACTGCACTGGATTTATCAGGTTTGGGAAATTTTGATCTGCATTCAGATCCAACTACATTATCTTTACGATTGAAAGAATTGTTACAGCGGTATGAACGGTTTTTGGTTGCTATGGATATAAAAGACGATACTCGAAAACAGGCTCTATTGTTATATGCGGCGGGAAACGAAGTAGAAAAAATTTTTGCAACGTTGACTGACGTAGGGGAAGAGAAAGATTACAAGAAAGCAGTTGAAAAGCTGAATGGGTATTTTCTACCTAGGAAAAATGTGTTACTCGAAACCCATAAATTTCGCCAGTTAAAACAAATAACAGAGGAAACAATCAATCAATATTGTACCAGGCTTCGACAACAAGCCACCATCTGTGAATTCTCTGACAGTGAAAATGAGATTAAAATCCAGCTGGTTGAAGGATGTTTGTCATCGCGAGTGAGAAGGAAAGCCATTCAGGATGATTTGTCATTAGCAGACATATTAGCATATGCAAGATCACTTGAAATAACAGACAAAGCTGTCAAAACATTGGAAGAAGATTGTGGCATTTGATTACCCCTTCAAATGTGGTTAATGCTATACGTAACAAACAAGAAAAGCCGAGTCAGTATCATGAACGAACAAACAGACAACCACAGCAATCAGGAAACCAGTATCCTACAAGCAATCGATACCCCTATGAGAATGCTGGCCGAGAAAATTCATATGAGCAGCAACAGCATGGTAAAAAACTATAATTGTGGGGAAAATTATTATGCAGGTCATCTTAGTGAGTGTATAGTTAAGGGAAAATCTTGTTTTACATGCGGAAAACAAAACCCACCAGTAGAAAAGGAGGTTTCCTCAAATCCACAAGCAGTTGAAACCATTCCAGTTATGATTGAAAGGGCTCATATTAGAATGATTGTTGACACCGGGGCAACAACAAACATTTTGGATTCAAAAGCATTTAATGAAATCAAAAAGAAAAACCCCAGTTTACATCTACATCCATCAACACACAAAATTTATGCTTTCATGCAATCTCAGCCTTTACAAGTCCTTGGAAAATTTGAAGCACTTATTGAGTTGAAACACCAAATGGCTGTTACAACATTCTGTGTTGTAAGTGGGGACGGTGGGTCACTACTAAGTTATTCCACAGCCACTGAGCTTGATATTGTGAAAATGAACGTGAATACTGTTACTCAGTCTAGTTTTACATCCTACATGAATCCTCGAGATAATCATAACCAGTTTGCCAATCAGAACCCAGAAAACCCTAAGAACCATCAGCCAGACTCACCAACTATGTCAGGGTTCAAAAAGGAATACCCCACAGTTTTTACCCCACAGGCACAATACCCCACAGGCATTGGAAAATTAAAGGATCATGAAATACACCTACATCTTAAAGAAAATTCTAAACCTATTGTGCAAAAACCCAGAAAGATACCTTTTCATCTCCGTAAACAGACAGAAAATAAACTAAAAGAACTAGAGGAAAATGATGAGTCACGATCTCTTACCACATTCCACACCCACAAAGGTCTTATGTGGTATAAATGTTTATGTTTCAAAGTAAATTTAGCACCAAAGCAATTTCAATATGCTATTCAACAAACACTCCAAGGACTGGAGTACGGTGGCCGATAGGGGTCATTCGCGCAAGTAAAGAGAAATCACCCCACAATAACCCGAAGCACATCAACAAATGCGAGATTCACACCACAACTTCACGATTCACGCCACAAAATTCACGATTCACACACCACATAGAAACTGCTGACCCACCACCGTCTCACAACATTAAATTCCCTTTTTCCCGCCTTTTTTTGCGAGCACAACAATTTCAAAGGCACTGAGTCAAAGGCCATCAAGAAAAGCATGGCTACCTGTTCGTCATGTTCTTTCAAGCTGTCTACTTCATACAAGTTTTGTCCACGTTGTGGGCAGAGTCAAACAGGAGAAAGCAAGCCTACCACTTCAACTCCGAGCGTAAAAAGATCTATTAATAAAACGTTAGGATATAAACAGTTTAAAGAGCTGAGAAACGAGCAACATATTTTAGACGTGAGAAGAAAACTAGAAGTGCAGAATCCGTGGACGACAAAGTTACAGTGAACATCGGTTTCATGAGATATGATGGCGTGGAAATGAAAGGACAGAGAGGTAAATTGTTGCCGCTTACTATTACAAAGTCTAGTGGTAGAAAGGAACTTATGGATGCTGCCTTCGCTAAATTAAAGGCTCACAATACAGGGGAAATTAAATCTATTGGAGACTATTAACTTTTGTACTCAGATGCAACAGTTGTCGAGAAGCTTCGAGAGTCTGACGAACCTTTTGTACTTCATAAGTACAAGAAAGAGTATGGGAAACCTTACAGTCGGATTACATTTTACCTATCATTAAAAACAGATTTGTTCAACTATAGACTTACTGCACTGAAGGAGACAGTTTTTAGTTCCGACACGAGTGAAAGCGATTCAGAAAGCAATCAAATCAAGAAGTCAAAAACAGAACACGACTGTAACACACCATCGTTGCCATCCGCATCGGCTCCAAATACCAAGAAACCAGTTTTCAGTCAAGTTATTGATGCTAATTCACCTATGACATCACCAGACACAGATTTAAAGCAGAAGATAGTCATTGACAAAGAGCAGGCAGAACCAAAAGAGACTGAGCAAATTGAAACAGATGCTGCTATTGCATTGGCATTACAAATGGAGAATGTAGATAATACTTATGCAGCACTTTTCACTGTTGATGATCCACCAGATGAACTGTCCACTAATGAAGAGATATATTCTGATGATGCACTGGACATGTCTGCATCTGGCAAAGATGATGCTCAAACTCCCACAATCGAATTAGTGGTAAAAGAATTAGCTCAGCAAGTTGATGTTAGTAATATTACTAAGTTTAATGTTGTCCGTACTAACATCTTTAATAGTGCAAAACGAGCCCTAAACCGATAATGGTGTCAGTGAAGTTTATGGATGACATAGGCTCCTCAGAGGGGGCTGTTGATATGGGAGGCCCTAAACGTGAATTTTTTACTTTGTTATTGCACAGTTTGTTGTATGAGTCACCATTATTTTTTGGGCATGAAAATTCAAGATATATTTCTTTACACCAAAAATCATTGGAGGAGGAAGATTATAAGTTAACAGGTATCCTTATTGCACTTTCACTTGTGCATGGAGGACCAGTCCCACATTGCTTGTCATATCCCCTATTTCAAGCATTATTGGGTGGTGTTTGTTTCGTTTACTGAAGTAGCCAAGTTTAATAAAGATATATTTTATACTTGTTTTTTTTTTACATAGTCCTTACATTACAGCGAGCAGAGAAAAATATATAACAACCGCCCGATCTACCTAAATTATATATAGTGGGCGAACAATGCCCCATGCATATGAAAGTCTAATTAATAAGTCACGCGACCTTGATCAATGTCAAAATATCATATCGTTATATCTTTCCTTCTTTAAACAGAAAAAGTGGATAAAATAAATAAAAGCAAACTAAAAAAAAACAATACTGTCATTACTATAATCGTTGTGCCTATGTTTTTTTTTTCTCGTTAATAAATAACATAGTCATTCAATCTCTTGGGTCTTGTGATGACTCTTCGGCTTCTTCTGGTTGTGAGTGCCTGTGATGTCACATCCGTTGCGGCGTCTGGAATTTGGTCAATCGTCGGAGTTTGTGTCTCGACTGTTTCCTCGTGATGTTGCTCTGGTTCAATGGCGGCTTGCTCATGCTCTTCGTTTGGTGCAGTCAACGGTTCATCCTGTGCAGAATCTTCAACTCCGACTTTCCTCAAATATTTGCGGTTTCGGATGTAAGTAGTGCTGTCTGCAACTACTTTGTAGGAACAAATACCAACGTTTTTTACGACTTTTCCGGTGGCCCATTTCTTCTGACCAAGTTGAACAGGCTGCATTTTGACTGTGTCGCCTTCTCGCAGTGGCTCTAACATCCGCGTTCCTTTATTGTAGTACCTTTGCTGCCGTTTCTGTTGTGTTTGAATTCGGTTTTGAACGCCTGTGATCACTCTGGGTTCCAGCAAGTTTGTCATTGACGGCAGGGTCGTTTTCGTTCGCCTACTCATCAATCTTTGAGCAGGACTTGATGCCATTCCTTCCTGCGGGGTGTTGCGAATGCTGAGAAGCGCCAGGTAGAAATCACCGTTGCTCGTCTGGGCTACTCGCACAGCTTTCTTTGCTTGCTTGACGGCAGCTTCCACTTTACCATTGGACTGATGATGGTGCGGGCTCGTTTGGGTATGACGAAAACCATAGTCCTTAGCGAACGACTGGAATTCTTGCGAGATGAACTGCGGGCCGTTGTCTGAAACCAGCTCCTCGGGTATGCCATACCGGGCAATGTGGCTTTTTACTTTCTTGATAATAGTGGACGAGGTTGAGCTGTATACACGATGTATCTCGAAGAAATTTGAATAATAGTCTACCGTAACTAGGTAATCTTTATTCTGGTACTGGAATAAATCTATTGCAATCTTTGCCCACGGACGGTCTGGGACCTGGTGACTGATCAACGGCTCCCTTTGTTGCTGTGGCTTGAAAGATGCACACATGTCACATTTGGAGATTTGTTCCTTAATGTTGCTGCTCATGTTGGTAGTCTCAGTAGAGACTTTCACGGGCACGTCTTAAAGTAGACCCTGCCCCTTGGTGGGCCATGTGAAGCTCCTGCATGATTTCTTTTCTCAGGGACGCTGGAACTACGACCCAATCTCCTCTCAGAAGAAGTCCATCTTGCCATACAAGTTCGTCATGGTAGTCAAAATATGGACTTACCCCCTCGGGGAGGTTTCTTTTGCTGTTTGGCCATCCCTGCTGTACAGTTGCTTTTACTGCCTGAAGGGTTTCATCTTTCGCGGTTGCCTCTCTGAATTTTGATATGGTGCTGGTTGATGCCACAAGTCCGTTAATTTCTTCGATCTGCTCGACTTGTTCTAATTCTTCAGCGAATTGTGATTGGGCACCTCGTCCTTGGTCGTTGTCTCGTGTTTCGCCTGAATAATGCCTGCTTAACGTGTCCGCCAGGTACATTTCTTTTCCTCTCTTGTAGTGAACCTGGAGATCATAATGTTGGAGGTGCATTAGCATCTTCTGAAGACGTCTTGGTGCCGACGATAGCGGTTTCTTGAAGATAGTTTCCAAGGGTTGATGGTCAGACTCTATAACGACTTGTCTACCGTATGTATATTGATGAAAGCGTTTTGTACCAAATACTATAGCCAACAGCTCCTTCTCGATTTGTGCATAGTTCGTTTTCGTTTGTGTTAGTGCTCTGCTGGCATAAGGAACAGGCTGGCCCTCTTGGAGTAAAGCTGCCCCAAGTCCTTTCTCACTTGCATCGCACTGGACAACGAGAGGTTTACTCGGATCATAGTAGCTTAACAGCGGTGGTTCAGTTACCAATTTCTTTGTTTCGAAGAACGATCTGTCATGCTCTGCAGTCCAGGTAAATGGAGTGTCCTTTCGCGTAAGTTGTCGTAATGGTTCGGTCACATCAGAGAGCTTTGGGAGAAATTTTGCTAAATAGTTGACCATGCCCATGATTCGTCTGACTCCTGGTACTTCTGTCGGTTGTGGCATATTGCAGATCGCTTCAACTTTGGCCGGATCAGCTTTCACACCGTTGGATGTTAACAAATGACCTATGTAGGGCATCTCCGTCTTCTTAAACTCGATCTTTTCCTTGTTGAGCTTTATTTTCCTTTTTCGGCAACGACTGAACAAAACTTCGAGCTTGACGTCGGGTCTGCAATGGCTTCGTCCATGGTGACTCCATTGCCTATGATTAGTATGTCGTCAGCTACGGTGCGGGTGCCATCCAGTCCTTCTATTTCTTGATCGAGATGACGTTGGAAGATCTCACCAGCTGGGGAAATGCCAAACGGCATTCGGTTCCATTTGTACCGCCCAAACGGCGTGTTAAAAGTGGTAAGGAGAGATGATTCGTCGTCTAATTTGACTTGCCAATAGCCATTTTTGCAATCAACTTTGGTGAACACTTTAGCATTGGCAAGGTCAGGAAGTACATCTTCAATTGTTGGTATTGGATAGTGACTTATTTTTAATGCTGTGTTCAATGGCCGGGGGTCTAAACACAGTCGTATATTGCCGTTACTCTTTTGTGCTACTACCGTGCCACTTACCCAGTCAGTCGGGGTCGTCACTTTCTCAATCACACGTTGCTCTTCCAGCTCTTTCAGGTGGTCTCGCAGCGGGGTTCTAAGGGCTTCGGGTACGCGTCTCAACAGGAGTTGTACTGGTTTAATTGACTTATCAACTTCTAGATGTAAAGGTTCGCCAAGTTCTCCCAATCCTTCAAAAATGTCTCTATACTTCTGCAAGATTTGCTGTTTAGTAACACCAATCATTTCAGGATCATCGACTTGTAGCACACAGTCTTCGAACGTTGTGGGTGCCAAGTTGTCGTGGTTTACCTCGATGAGACCCATTTGTTGCGCCGCTGTGCAGCCGAGTAAGTTGACTTTGGCATCTATATCCTTAACCACCGTGAAAAGGACTTTGTACTCAATTTGGGTGGTAGGGTTGGTCAGCTGAATTCGACATTTTTCCAGCGGTTTCAATGGCGACGAGTTGTACATCTTTAAGATTTGATTTGTTTTTAGCACTTTGTTCCAGTATTTTGTGCCCGATAGTTCACCCAGACGAATGACATTACAGGTGGCTCCGGTATCGATTTGGAACCTCGCTGTATTACCTGTTTTTATCTTCATAGGCGCAGAGATCTTCGCAAAAATAGACTGGTTTTCCAATCCATGGACTCGTTCTGTTCGGGGATCGAGATCTAAAGTCATAACAGAGTCATCGGAATTTTCCATTTCAGCATTCATTTGCATTGCTATGGGTTGGTTACCCTTTCTCAAACAGGCTCTTGCAAAATGGTTTCTTTTCCCACACGCTTTACATACTTGACCATATGCTGGACACGATTCTCTGCCTTCTCCGTGTGTTCCACCACAATATCGACATGTATGCTTGGGACGATGATTGTTATTAAACGTTGATCGGCCACGGCCACTTGAGCGAAATTTATTCCTCACTACATTTATTTCGTCGGCTGATTCTGTCTTGGGTTATCATTTAGCTGAACATTTGACTTCTCGCCGCTTCTACAAATGTCAATCGCTCGTGACAAAGTTAATTTCTTTTCCTGAAGTAGCCGCTTACGAATGCTGTCATTGTTAATACCGAGCACAAGGCGATCTCTGATCAAAGAATCCCGTAAACATTCACAAAACCCGCAAGACCGTACAAGCTTCCGCAAAGTTGTTACATACTGATCAATGGTGTCGTTTCCTTGGTCTCGTCGGTTGAAAACGAATCGTTCATATATCTCATTCGTCTCCCCGATACAAAACTCTTCAAACTTTCCTATGACCACTTTGAGTTCTTGTCGATCGGCTTCGGCGAAATCTAATCCCTCGAATATCTCAAGCGCTTCTTCTCCGATTATAGACAAAAACGTGGCGGTCTGAAATTCTTTCTCGAAGCAGTTTATTCTGGCGACAATTGCGTAGTTGTCCCATGCTCGTTTAAAACGTTTCCAGTTTGCTGCGAGATTGCCTCCAGTGTCTAGTGGCTGTGGAAATTTTAATCCTGTTGGAAGACATGACGGTGTAGCTAGGTTGTTTATGGCGGCGTGTCTCGTTTTGTTCAGACGATGTTGCTTCGTTTAATTCCGTGTGTAACATCATGTAGCTTTCTTCGTCTTTATGTTTAGTATCCCACACCTGACACCATGTTTAGTTTACTGAAGTAGCCAAGTTTTATAAAGATATATTTTATACTTGTTTTTTTACATAGTCCTTACATTACAGCGAGCAGAGAAAAATATATAACAACCGCCCGATCTACCTAAATTATATATTGTGGGCGAACAATGCCCCATGCATATGAAAGTCTAATTAATAAGTCACGCGACCTTGATCAATGTCAAAATATCATATCGTTATATAGTGTTCAGGGGGTAAACCCAACACTAGCTGATATGGAAAATATACACGATGCAACAAAAGATGTTATCATCTTACTGAATGATGTTAAACCAGAATGTGTAAATACATTTATTGATGCTAATGAAAGACTATCAACAGTTGTAGATCTTGCAGGTGCATGGAAACCAGTAAAATCTGCTGAAGATAAGTTAAGCATAATAAATAACCTTATAAAATGGTTCCTATTAGGTAGAAGTCAGTGTGCTATCCAGCAATTTCAGGAAGGCCTTGCAATTTTGGGATTGTTAGATAAAATGAGGGAATTTCCAAATTTATTTAGCCAACTAATGTGCTACTCCCCAAACAGGCTCACTGTTGAGTGTTTTGAAGCTAGATTAAGTTATGATAGAAGTAAAAGGGGCTCCAACTCTTTTCAAGTAGAGAATGTGGTATTGGGCTTCTGGGGTGACTTCTTAGTAGATACCAGTGAGGGTGAATGCCAACTACAACTCAAAGATATACTGATGTTTATAAGTGGATGCTTTGAGTTTCCTCCCCTTGGTCTGGAGATTACAGTAAAGTTCTTGCATGAGGAAAGGGGATGTAAATTTCCCAAAGCCAATACTTGTACTTGTGAATTAAGTTTACCAGTTCAACATACCACATATACAGCTTTCAAAGATGACATGACATTTGGCATTCTAAATTCTAAAGGTTTTGGACAAGCTTAATATTTTTATATGGGTTAATTAATAAACCACTTGTAGCATATATATGGGTTCAGAGTCATGTAAAAATCAGTGGAATTAAGGCGAAGATGTTTAGGCCTAGTATGATCAATTTAGGTCTTAATGATGTAATTAGCATAAATGAAGAAAATTTATGTCCCTGACAGCTAAATTCTTCTGAATATTCTGCTACCATTATGTTGTATGAAAGCTATTATAAAGCAACTTAGCCAACGTATTATATATATTAATCTTTATTGTTCACGTTATTGTTTACATGAAATTAATTTTGTAAAAATTCAGTATTTTATATAGTTGATACAAACATTTGACATTTGTGGGCAAAATGGTAGAGTTAGTCTAATTAGTTTGACTGAAATGTTGTGTTTTAAATAAAAACTGTTACTCAAGTTTAGCTATTCTTGTTCAGCTATTTGTTTTAAAATTGCATATAAATCCAAAGCACTTTTCCAATCAGTAGGCTTTTCTAATCCTTCTGATGTACAAACATAGTTAAAGTACTCCTAAAAATATCCTGATTACCTTGATCTATTGGATCAGTAACATGTTGTCTGACCTCATTAAGCTTTTCAGGATCAACAGGCTGTTTTTGATCTTCACTATTATGACGTTCTGGTATGTAATACAACTCATCTGGCCGTCCTGGAACAGTCTCATGCCTTGATGAACGAATGTAGTGATTGTTCCACAGGGCCTTTGTGTAGTTAAGGTCTTCCTGAATAATATCACTAAAACAAAACCACATACATTCTTTGTGAATCACATTTCCATATTCAAATTGACCACTATCCATGAGATCTTTGAAGAGGTTTATCCACCATGATGATCTTCTCACCATGAGGATTTTCTAAAACAAGACCACCATGCTTCAATGCGCTGGTTTCGCTTTGA